CAAAAACCTATTCGCTAACAACAAAAATGCAAAACACATAATTAGCTTAGAGGTAGTTCTTTCCATTATGTAAAGAACAAGATCTGGCGATGAAGCAATTCCAGATATGCTTCTCCTGGATTTCTTAAACCTTGATGGCTTTGGATGAGTTATGACTTGTACATCTATAACCTTACTTACACACGTACCCATTTACAGCCAAACTTTCCAAAAAAGCGTTTGTGCTTTGGCAATCCCAGTTATGCGTTCAAATTGGATCATTAACCCCTAGTAGCCCAGAACTAGCATTAGGTTATATTGTGACTGAGAATTATGACTGGCGTATCGTACTAAGACTTAAAGCTCTATACAGACACACAAATATGCACACGCACCAAAGCACTTAAGTAATTAGATGAACATGATAAATAACCGACCACATCGTTCTGTCTTTTTACTTATCTATCTATCTATCTATCTATCTCTCTCTATATATATATATATAAATCAATATTTTTTTGTATTGATGCTGGGCATAGATAGAATTTAAGATAGAACCGACTAGTCTTTTTGATTTGGAGTTGACCGAAGTCTCCGAAGTATTGAGCTTAAACTTTGACAGTTTCTGTCATATGAGGGAAGAAAACTTAGCCCGTTTTTTTACTGAAATGAGGGGTAATTAAGTTTATCCTTTGGGAGTATCGACCTATGACTCTCTTGATCAGGTTCTTTCACAAGGAATGTTATTTGCAGCAACACTGCACTTTTTAAATGAAATATATTATAGTGTCATTGTTACTCATTTTTCTTTGCAGGCCTCCACAATTCGCGTCAAGGTGAATATGAATATGTAGAGAAGAAAGCTTTTAAAGTCTGTTGCAAACTTTTTATCTTTTTTTAGATCACCGCTCTTACTGATCTTTTAACGAGAGTTTCTTTCTTTGCAAAATGACACATCCATGGCATTTAAGTCCAGTATTAGGAAGGAATGAAGTTTTGCCTCAAAACTAGGCATATATCAGACCGAAACTGGTATTTATTTAAAAGCTTTTTTCTAGTTGACTATATCCATTTGACTCTCATCCACTACAAATATGTACTCCTGGATTATGACCAGTACTACTTTAAATGTCCTTTAATGTAGAAATAGCGTTGTCTTAACTCTGTCCTGTATTGAGTTTGAAATAAATATAACATTTTTATGAGATGTATTAACCATATTTCGTTTTTAAGGCGGTGAAGGACTGGTAGTAGAAATGAAACAGGATGAATACATTTTATATAACTGATTTACTGGTAGTATCGAAACTATACAAATATAAGAAAAATAACATTTTTAATTTAAGCCATAAATGCGAATGACTAATTTTACTATCACAAGCATATTATCAGAACAAATATGGGCATAGGATATACACAAATGCTTATGAAAGGAGCAAAAAAATCAAAATGCCCTATTTTTGGCTCAATATTAGTCCGAAAATCAGCATACATTTTTGTTACTTGCAATTTTTTGCTAGAATAGTGAGATAAGAGTATGCTTTAAAAAGTAACGTTAAATATAAACCAATTTATAGTATATAAAAATATGTAAACTCTAGAAAACGATTAAAATAGAAACAATTATTACATAAATACGGTTTCTATACCATTAATTAAATGCGAATATGTGTTTTTTTTATTTTTAATAAAATGACCAAGCTAACTCAATTACATGCATCTTGAAATTATTTAAATAGTGAATACTATATACAAAGCTTATTGGAAGTTTACGGCTCACTTAGCATCATTGTTGTTGATTTAAGAAAGTCATTAAATCGGTTCCAATGTATTTTATGCCGTTCCATTGACTGAAATGCATTTTCTACATTTTCGAAGACCTTAAGAGTAAATACATTTATTTTTTCGTCTTCTGTGATATCCTGTTCATTTTCTTGATCTGGGTCTACAAACTCTTGCGTATAATGCAAAGAAATTATTTCATCCTTCTCCTCATCATCATCGTCTGAAATACAATCTTCTGATGTCACGTTTGGGCTTTCAATATTTAATTCTTTCTCAATAACAGTGGCTTCCTGGTCAACATGTTCTGATGAATCACTCTTTAAGGTCAGTTGGTCAGGTGCTTTTTCCAGCGTTTCACTCCTGGTCTCCTCTATAGATTCAGCTTTAAAACTTTTATTTTTGTCCATAATTTGACTAATGTCTGTAAGGTCATCGCTTTGTACTCGTTGGTTTGAAGCGGATTCTACAGGATCGTGATTTAATCCAGTATCACAAAAACTAGATTCATTATTATCAGGAACTTCGACTTTTATATCGTCAATCTCTTCGGAATTATCTTCAGTAATTTCCATGTCTGAAACTTTGCTCATAGGATGATCATTCATTTGTCTACGTTGCAAAAGAATATTCTATTTATGCTCGTTTTTCTGCATAAATTTCACTTTTTTACTACTTAGTACACTTTTAGGTATGCGCATATGTACAAATTCTTGCAAATCTTGTCGCCAAATAGCAGCCCCAGTTGTACAAATTATATGCTGACCAATGAGAAAGAGCAATCATGACGATAATATTAAGAATACAAGCACTTTTTTCTAGATATACTCTTGATAAAAGGTCTTATATCACCCCTTGTTTTTACTTATATTTTCTTTTTTCATTTCAGCTTTCCTTCCACAGTCAGAAATGAGGTCACATTTATTAACGTTACTTTGCGCTAACACTTAAGAAAGATATGAGCAATTTTAGCTATCACCAGTTTCATTTAGTGTGAAGTAAATAAGATTTGGTTTCTTGCATTAAAACGACTTTGCGATTCCTCATTGTTCTACTTCTAATGGCCTTGTCCTTCTTGAAAATTGATCGAAATGCGGTCAGCCACTCGTTTATTCAAGTTTGGTAACATTTTTATGATGGTAAAGCCAAGTAAGTAAAATTAATCTAAATACATTTATTTAATAGTTTGCTGGAATCAAATAATATTTGAAGGTCGATTGTCATAGTGAATATAACTTTGCTTTATTGACAATCCCACCAAACAATGTCATATTGAAAAAGGTCTAACTTTTCTTGAAATTAACATCTGTCTCGTGATCATGAGGCACTTTTGGCAATGTGGCGGCGTAGTTAATGTGTTGAGATTGCGAGCTGCAATGTAATAGTTCGATTCCTGCTAGGGGTGTTGATAAGACCTGGGCGAGGTCGATATTGAAATCCGCCCTAGATGTGAACACTTTTTGGAAAAGCAAAGCCATGTGAAATTTAATGAAAAATTCAGCTCTAATAATCTCATTGCAGGAAAATTTAACTATCAGTGTTTCATCAACTTAAACTAAATAGAGTATATATATCTCACATATTGGACAAGCAATTTATTTCACAACTTTCGGGTTTTCCGATAATGTCAAAGTAAGCTTCTTATTCTGGATACCCAAAATGATAGATATGGAAATATATTCTGAATTATATAGGAGAAATTCTTATCATTTCGTGCTTTGCACATCAAACGTGTCTTTTAGTTGCTAAGCCAAATAAATAAGGGTTCTGGAAGGCTGAATTCATTTCTTTCTGCTATAAATTGACGTAAGTAACAGTGCTTATTGTTCCGTTTGCTCCGTTTCTCAGTTTAGCCTTTCAACTCATTCTTATCTTCATATTTTTTTTAAGAATGGCCTTCACAAATTTACTTAAGTTTCCATAAACATTTCAAGGTTTATTAAATTTTAACTCTCAATTATTTAAATAACAAGGCATTTTACAGCTACCTAATAATACGTCTCATGGGTGCGAAATTTAATTGACTTATTCTTAGTATATTCATTTATTCTTTAAAGCCAGTGAAAAAAGATTATTGTGAATTAGTAAATGCAATTCGTTCTATATTTAAACGTGTATACTTTACTCGAAAATATGAACACTAAGATGTGTGACCCCCCGTATGTTAGCCATCTCCTTTTGATTTATAGAAGCTGGTTCAGCTCGTTTTCTCAACTTTTTCTTGTTGTCCGAGAGACTTAGTAGAACGCACCTAGTCCGCAGTCCTATGCCATAGTAGTGCATACTTTACGTTTAATCCTATCACTAACTATTAAATCTTTTTCCTATAACCCATTAGCTCGATTGTTAGTATTATATATTTCAAGCTCTACTTATATTTAAATTTCTTTCTCTTCCGAACCTGGTGATATATCTTTTAAAGTGACTTCCTCTTGATACTTCCCTGTCAATATAGTGCTTATCTATTTAAGTAACAGATAATAATCGTCAAATTCGTTAGCAAGTTACTATTTTTCCGCTAGATTGGCTTAGAAAAGTTATCAAGCTGATAAAAACATCTAAATTTTACACATTTATACTGCTTTATGTTAATAAGATGCTCAGTATTATAGATATAATCTAGAAGTTATGTAGTTCTTTCATTTATGTGTCAAAGCTAAGAACTCTGAAGTGCGTTTAGGCAACGGTAAAACTATTGGTTAGCACCTTTAATTAATAAGGAATTTGCACTTGCGGAATAAAGTTAGTGGATATATTACAAGGTGCTGCTAAGGTATGCTCTTCAATGAGTCCAGGTCCTTTTTCTGCATAAGTACAACTATTGCAGAAAAAAGTTAAACCCAATTTCCTGTTTATATCTTGGGAAATCTATCTTCTTTTCTTCTATATGAGATATATTAACTCTATTCTTTTTAAGGTGATGATGGACTGGTAGGAACGCTACATTAGCTCAGCCACAAGAAACTGCGACCAAACCTAAGATCACACAAGTTTGGCTTTCATATCCAGGATATAAGGTACATTATGCAAGGACTTGTCTCTTTGACGAGTTCGTATCTTGGTGCGGAGAATGGCAAGGCTCATTGATGATGCCGACTACGA